CTGCCGAATCGAACAAACGAGAAGAAAAATGAACCCACTGCGACTTCACGACCCGCTGACGATTCGGTCGATCATCCGTTCGATCGCCTGGATCTGCACGCCTTCCTTCCAAGCTGGAATCAAAATTTAAGTTTTTTTTTTAAATAAAAGTAATCAACAGTGTTTTAAAGCCACGGTATGGGTCAAAAGTATTGGAACTCCGGAAAAATCAATATTATACCCCTCCAACTAGTGTGATGAAACTAATTCATTTACTAATGTTATCTCCCTTCATATACAGCCTGCGATTCAAAATTATGCATAAAGACTTTGAGTTGTTGTATCTCGAAAAGTTTATCAATTAAACACAAACCAAAAATAGTTTTACATACATTAGACATGTGGAAATGTGATGCTCAAGCCGACACACATCGGCGCACATGTCAACCGTGATTTTGAAGTGATTCCTGTTGCACCACCTCCCAGAAAATTCTGCACTGCTTCAGGTTTCCACTTCGCCTCGTCCCCAAAGAACTCCAGAGGGCTGAGGTCTGGAGACCGCGGGGGGCATGCACGGGCGTTCCCCCGTGCGACCTCTCCACCTTTCAGGAAATTCAGCGTCCAGATAGGCACGGGCGTTTCATGCGATAGTGCGGTTGTGCACCATCCTATGCACCATCCTATGCACCATCCTATGCACCATCCCATGGGAAACATAGTTTAGGGACGGCAAACCGTGAACTTAGTCGCTCGTGTTGCAATTCTTTTGACCCATACCATATGCATTAAAACAATGTAATCAGGAAAAAGATGGCGAGAATGGAGAATAAAACTAATAAATAATAAAAATAAATAAAATAAGTTTCCCACCGTAATCCGGCCCAGTGTACCCATAGATGTCCCAGCACCCAAGAGGATTGATGGGATTCACGAGGCTGAAGGCGACCTGGGGATAAAGGACGATGACATCGTTCAACTCCCCGACCTCGTTGAAGCCGCTCTCCCGTGCGTACAGGTCTCCCACC